AAGCCACAGTTTGTGTTCAGAAAGAGCCCTCACTGTCCCCCATCCTGCTCCTGGGCTGTGGTGTCTGCAGCATGGACAGACAGCAGGACAGAGCTCTCCTCTGCTCTTCGTTAGTTTTTAGCTCGCTGAGACAGGGAAGTTCCCTGGACTGATTTTTTTTTCCTTTTTCCTTGGATGTGTTCAAACCTGCTCTGGACTGAACACCCAGCCAAACCCCAGGAGCTCACGCCTGTGGCCCACCGGGGCCTGGGCCTCGGCACTTTCCAGCACCGGAGGGACTGATGAGAACCTGAGTGAGCCCAGCTACACCCCATGGAAAGGACTTTTCTGGATTTGCCATCTCATCAAACAGTGAGAGGTTTTACCGTTTAATATTATCCAGTTTCTGTTAAATAAGCAGGTTTTTTCCACTTTTCTCTAATGAAATATTCTCCTGAACCAGCTGGGCTGCTTGAATTTGATTTCTGGAGGGACCCCTTTTGGAGGTTCTCTCCCAGATTTCCCCTAAACCAGGACAAATACAGTTATTGGCATCCAATGTGGGGCCATGCACAGCATCTGCATATGCTCAGAGCTTCTTCACCATATCAAGAACAGTCTCCTCCCTGTCATTTTGCTTTATCTTTGCTAAAGCAGAAGCGTATTCTTGTGGCCCAAGTCATACAAGTTTTCTCCAGATCACGGATGTACACAGTACCAAGTCTGGATTTCTAGTGTTTAGGTCATCCACGAAGACAATCTCTACCACTGCCATTTCTCTCAAGCGTTGAATCCCTTGTTCAGTGGTTTTCCAACGAGTTTGCTGTACATAGAGATCGTCTGCACACAGATATCTTTGTGCTACACTTCTTAGGACCCCTTCCCAGAGACTATAACGGTCAGCCCCCCTCATCATCTCCTGGTCAATAACCGGATCGTGTGACAGGGATCTCAGATGCCTCGCTTCAGTGCCATCCAGAACTGTAGCCTCACCTGCAACATCCCACAGACGGACTAACCAACTAATTATAGATTCATCAGGTCATCGAGTGTAATCTTTTCTCAGGCCACGAAGGTCCTTCAGGGAGAAAGGTTCACCAGTGCCTTCTGATTTTGTGTCAGTTGCTGGTCTTGAGGGTCTTTCCCCCGCATCACCATTATCATCATCTACTGGCCGATCGGTTTTGGTTTTGAATTTCATGCCTCTCGTGGCAGGAGCAACAGACACTGGCTTAGGCTCACTGTCTGGTTTGGCTGCTGGCTTAGGCTCACTGTCTGGTTTGGTGGCTGGCTTGGCTGCAGCCTGAGTGACTGGGGAGTGGCACTGCTGATTTGTCTCCCTGCCCTACAGTATCTAGCACTGTGTGATAAACATACACCAGGGTCCAGCATATTGCAATGATCTTTTTCTCCTTAGAATCATCATGGCACTTCTCTTTCAGGTATTTCCCCACCTCAGATGAGTTCTGAATTTGTTCCTGAGGAAAGTCCCAGGGTAGGATCAGAAAATTCCTTCAGGGTCTGGCCCATTCTCTCCCATTCTCCACACCACTCAGGATTTTCCATACCTGGAAAATTTCCTGGGTCAGGGGTCTCATCAGCTCATCTAGATATCTCAGCCCTCACTCTAAAAGAGCTGCTGCAGACCATATAGATGAAGCTCAACAGAAGAAATACCAGGAAAGTGGTATCCTAAACTTTGCTCTTCTTGATGGCAAAACCAGCTTCCAGCAGAATCTGGATTATTTTCTTTCCTTTCTCAAAGACCTCTGCAGCTGTATTCCTTCACACAATGATGTCATCAATGTACTGCAGATGTTCTGGAGCCTCACCCTTTTCCAGGGCAGCCTGGATCAGTCCATGGCAGATGGTGGGGCTGTGCTTCCACCCCTGGGGCAGTCGGTTCCAGGTGTACTGCACTCCCCTCCAGGTGAAGGCAAACTGAGGCCTGCATTCTGCTGCCAGGGGAATGGAGAAAAATGCATTAGCAATGTCAATAGTGGCGTACCACTTCGCTGCCTTGGACTCCAGCTCGTCCTGGAGCTCCAGCATGTCTGGCATGGCAGTGCTCAGCAGTGGAGTCACTTCATTCAATGCACGATAGTCCACAGTCAGTCTCCATTCTCTGTCAGACTTGTGCACAGGCCAGATGGGGCTGTTGAAAGGTGAGTGAGTTTTGCTGACCACCCCTTGGCTCTCCAGTTCTCGGATCATCTTGTGGATGGGGATCACAGCATCTCGATTTGTCCTATACTGCCAGCGGTGCACTGTCACGGTGGCAATTGGTACTCGCTGTTTTTCCACTTTCAGGAGTCTTACTACAGATGGGTTCTCTGACAGTTCAGGCAAAGTGTTCAATTGCTTAATGTCCTCTGCCTCCACAGCAGCTATTCCAAAAGCCCACCTGAATCCCTTTGGGTCCTTAAAATACCCGCTTTGGAGGAAGTCTATGCCCAAAATGCATGGGGCCTCTGGGCCAGTCACAATAGGATATTTCTTCCACTCGTTTCCAGTCAGGCTCACATCAGCTTCCACTAAAAAAAAGTCCTGTGATCCCCCCATCACTCCAGCAATAGAAACAGATTCTGTCCCCACATGTCTTGGTGGGATTAATGTGCACTGTGCACCAGTGTCAACCAAGGCCTCATATTTTTGTGATTTTGATGTGCCAGGCCAACAAATCCACACAGTCCAAAAGACACGGTTTTCCCTAGCCTCTACCTGGCTAGAGGCAGGGCCCCTCTAAGCCTGGTTTTCTTTCCTTCCCTGGGTATATGTCTTGGAGGCTCCTTCAAGGGGATCAGACGTGGTGTCATCACCATCATCATATCTGGCAGTTTGGCTACAGGCTACTGGAGGTGCTTTCTTTTTGGTGGAACTTCCTCTCTGAGTCCTGCTGTCTTCCAATTCAAGCACCCGTTTTTCCAGAGCAGCAGCAGATTTCCCATCCCATCTCCTCATGTTTTCTTCACAGTCACTCAGGAAGAACCACAGCTCAGCTCATGGGGATGGCAGAAGAAATGGAAAAAGGCCAATTGGCAGAGCAGAGGAAAACCAATCTGGGCTGCTGATGAGTGGAAAGACATCGCCACCAGGGTAGAGAAACTGTCTGTGAGAGTCCGTCATGTAGATGCCCATGTCCCCAAGAGTAGGGCTAATGAAGAGCACCTAAACAATGAGCAGGTGGATCAGGCTGCAAAGATAGAGGTGTCAAAAATAGACTTAGATTGACAACACAAGAGAGAGTTGTTCCTAGCTCGATAAGCCCATGATGCCTCAGGCCATCAGGGTAGAGATGCCACCTATAAGTGAGCACAAGACCGAGGGGTAGACCTAACCATAGACAGTATTTCCCAAGTTATCCATGACTGTGAGACGTGTGCCACGATCAAGCAGGCCAAGCGGTTGAAGCCGCTATGGTACAGTGGGCGTTAGTCCAAATATAGATATGGGGAAGCCTGGCAGATTGACTACATCACACTGCCCCAAACCCGCCAAGGCAAGCGCTACGTGCTCACAATGGTAGAAGCCACCACTGGATGGTTGGAAACCTACCCTGTGCCTCATGCCACTGCCCGGAACACCATCCTGGGACTTGAAAAGCAAGTCCTCTGGAGGCATGGCACCCCTGAGAAGACTGAGTCAGACAATGGGACTCATTTCAAGAACAGCCTTATAAACACCTGGGTTAGGGAACATGGCATTGAGTGGGTGTACCATATCCCCTACCATGCACCTGCTGCGGGAAAAGTTGAACGGTGCAATGGCCTGCTTAAAACCAGCTTGAAGGCACTGGGTGGGGGAACTTTCAAGAACTGGGAGCAGCATCTAGCAAAGGCCACCTGGATAGTCAGGAAGGTCCTGCCCAGTCTGTCTTTGCATGTAGTAGATGGAGACAAAGTCCCAGTGGTAAATGTCAGAGGTCTGCTAGGGAAGATGGTTTGGATCAATTCTACCTTGAGTACAGACAAACCCATTTGTGGGGTTGTCTTTGCTCAAGGACCAGGTTGCACATGGTGGATAATGCAGAGAGATGGAACAACATGATGTGTACCTCAGGGAGACCTGATTGTTGGGTGAGAACCATGAGCAAATATCACTGTTTGCTGAATACCACTGCCCTTGTCTGTACATCTGTCTATATATGTGTATGTATATAATGTATGTGTTTGTAGAGTTAGACTGCATGTCAGTTTTGGTAATAAGTTGATGATATGTGCATAAGGGGTGGATTTTTATTTTTTTTTAAATAAATTGGTGCAAATGCATGGCTCGAGAAAGTGGGTAACTGTATTTGTCCTGGTTTAGGGGAAATCTGGGAGAGAACCTTCAAATGGGGTCCCTCCAGAAAGCAAATTCAAGCAGCCTCTCCCCCAGCTGGTTTGGGAAAAGATTTCCTTGGAGAAAAGTGGGAAAAAAACCTGCTTATTTAACAGAAACTGGATAATATTACACAGTAAAACCTCTCACTGTTTGATGAGATGGCAAATCCAGAAAAGTCCTTTCCATGGGGTGTAGCTGGGCTCACTCAGGTTCTCATCAGTCCCTCCGGTGCTGGAAAGTGCCGAGGCCCAGGCCCCGGTGGGCCACAGGCGTGAGCTCCTGGGGTTTGGCTGGGTGTTCAGTCCAGAGCAGGTTTGAACACATCCAAGGAAAAAGGGGAAAAAAAACCAGTCCAGGGAACTTCCCTGCCTCAGCGAGCTAAAAACTAACTAAGAGCAGAGGAGAGCTCTGTCCTGCTGTCTGTCCATGCTGCAGACACCACAGCCCAGGAGCAGGATGGGGGACAGTGAGGGCTCTTTCTGAACACAAACTGTGGCTTCTTCTTCCCCCTTTCACTCTCAGAGCTGGTCTTAGAGGTGCAGAACTTAATGTGTCACATAAACAAGGTGACTGGGGATACAAGCTTCCCACAGAGCCACTCCAGGACATACATATATACACATATTTATGCATATAAATATATATCAACAGTCAAGGAATTTTTAATTAACTAAATATGTGCACAAACCATACTACTGGCAGAGTATAAAATCTTCAGAAATGTTGAAACGTCTTGATTCCCAAATGCCTAGGCATTCCTGTTTGGGAAAAAAACAGAATGTAGTCTCCCAGCTCACTTCACCAAGTGCCTTATACCTAATTTGTGTGTACTCTCCTTCCCACTCAACTCCCTGGCCACAGGGTAAATGACTTGAGAGAAATTCACAAAAGGATGAAGCATCCAATCTCAAACCTCTAATCACCGCTTTCTAATTTAAAGCAAAACACTGTGTATCTTTCAAAGTTCTCACTATTACTTATGCAGAAAGATATCTAAATACTAAGATACCTGCATCGTGGTGTCTCTGGTAAGGTTTAAGCAAGAAGCAGCATCATCAGTGCAGCTCAGGGACAAGATCTAACAAGGTTTTTCTTTCCTCTGATTTCCCCGTTTTCTACTCCCATTCCTGTATCTGAGCACTCTCACAAAATTTTCAAACACCTAATCCTGAAACAAACTTCAGGTCAGAAGCTCCAGCACTGCTCTCTGACAGCCAGAGTCTGTCAGAGAGCAACTGCACTGCTGTTGGAATAAACTTTATGAAGGAAATCAATCTCCTTTAAATGGAGAAGAGCCATGACTCCTATACCTTCAGATCTTGCACTTCTTGTTTTTCTCTGGGCTAACCTGAATCCAGGGCTTCACTGTGTTTACTCCCCTGTTCCTACTGGCCAATGAGAAGGGGTAACATCAGCCACAAAAAAACAGAAAACCCTGTGATTGTGGCAAAACCTGGTGACACATGTCTATTGCTACGGTGAATTTCTCAGTTTTTAAAGATGAGTGTGTGGTAGTGGTTATGAACAAGCCAAGCACAGTGAGTATGAGACGACCACTTAGGCTATGTACAGTAAGCACCTTCACTTGCATACACTGAACAATGGCTACTGTACAAATTAATTAGCTGGTTGCTGCCCTGAAGCTGAGAATTCCTTCAGACTGGCTAGTTCTCATTCTGCAAAAAAAATGGTTTTAATCGGCACTTTCTTGATTCTCCAAGGAGTGTCCAGACAACAACATTAAAGCAAAGTGTCAACCAGTGACAATTTTTGGTGCAGTTGGTACTCCATTGCTCACCTTGCCAAACAAGCCTGCCCAGAGTACTCATTTATCAACTGTCTGAACCTTATTTAACATCCAAAGGGGTCTAACACTGTGAATGAAACATGATGGAGGCAACACCTGGACAAAATCCAAACCTCCCCCCTGCCCCTGGCAGGCTGGAGAGCAGAGAGCTCTGTATACCATTGTTTGAGATTCACAATCTCAGTCTAAGGATGAAAACAATCCTATCAATCTAAATACAAAATTCATATTTAGAGAGGTTATCAGCTCTTGGCAGGTTGTACAGATGTATGTATGGTAGGTTTTCCCAGGGAATGATCTCTAAAAGCTACACCCCTGAAAAATTACTGTAAGAATTTTGCTTCCTTACCTTTATTTGTTCTCTCCAAAATCCAACTTTTACACAACTTCAGAGTTTTACATTTCGTGAAGAGAAGGTGTATCTCCCACAGACAGACTTTGGCATCCTTCTGAAAGCAAGCATGTGCCTTAGGAAAACCTTTGTCCAAATTCTCTGGTGCCTGTGGCTTATTTAGCTTTTTCTTTGCAGATTAAGAAAATAGGAACCAAAGATTTACATTAAATAGACACTAAATAAAAGGTTTACAAATTACAGTACATAACAACTATATATCTGGAAGAAATACTGATATTCCTTCTTTTTTTTATTCTTTCCCCTTCAATTTGCTCAAAAAGCTCCTCAAAAGCAGGGCTAGTCAAAGCATACAGTGATGGGAGCAGGGGGGTAGTCATTATTTCTTGAAGTTCTTTATTCCACTGAAACTATGGAGAATGAAAAAATTTGCTCAGGTTTTATGTGTTGAAAACTGGCTTTGTTCATTTCACTTTTTATGTTTAAATTATAAAACAGAAACCTTTCAGCAGAAAATATCTTGCCAAGAGCAAAATATTTTTGTGGAAAGTCAGTTTCCACAAGAGAATGACTGGCCATTTTTATCACTGATCTTTCTCTAACAGTGTGGAACATAATGTCAGTGAATTATTACATAGAAGAAAATTATTTTATTTTCTCACTGTAGTAATCGCTAGTCTAGCTTGTCTCCAACCATAGGAGTGACACCATTTGATTTAGACCTCAATTGGCTTAGTCCACCGACAGGGTAATGAATAAACTCTTGACAATTGGAACACTGAAACTGACCTAAAACTAAAGAACTTAACATACACTGAAAAAATTCAAGTCTGGAAATGTTGGACATTCAAGTTTGAGGAGGTTGTATGAATGTAGTTATGGTCATCTACTTAAAATCTGATTCAAAAGCTCATAATTAAAAGGAATTAGCACAATACTGATCATTTAGTCCCTTCAGCAAAACTCATTTTACCACTCCATGGCTCTGACAGGTTATGTCCCAGCCCTCTCACTTCAGGTCTTTCCAGTTAAATTAATATTTTATTGCTTATTAGAAGTGTCATTGACCCACCAATAGCACACACCTAAGGACCAGTCAGACCGTGCACACAATTAACTAATTAGACACAACAGGACTGCTTGCCAACAGAAGAAAAGAGCCACATTTAAACCCTTGAATAGCCAGGTTTAATAGATCTGAAAATAAATGCAAAATCTGAAAACAAAAGCCTACTTATCACTTATATTCCCCACTGAGGCAGTTGTGTAAGGTCAGAATGAAACCTTGGCTCTGCCTTCCCCACACACTGAGCAGTCCAACTGAACAGTCACAGTTGGGGTTTTTCTGCTGAGTTGCTGCAAAAACTCTCTCCTGTTGGATTGCAGCATGAAGGAATCTGACTCATATTCACAATGCTCCTGAGGTTCTCTGGGGTGATGGTCGTAATGTGACTCTGCTTCAAACACTCAAGAGAGGCAGAAGAAAAACACCACACTATGGTATGTGTGGTCATAAGCATTCTACAGCCACGGATAGACTGGAAACAAACAACAGAAAAATTGTGTCCATGTGTTATTTAGGTAAGAGGCAGTGAAGACTTGATGCTCACCTGCGTGCCTGTGACAGGCGATGGGCTCAGAGCCAGACATGCACACATCTGCCTTCCCTGCCTGAAAAACATGCCTGGTTAGTGGCTAGCTGCTAATCTCTTCAGCAGCATATTTACAGTCCTACTGTAGGCCTGGAAGAGTAGCTATGGAAGATTTTTAACAAATCTTCCTCATGTTTGCAATGAGGAGGTTAATGTATACATTTTACAATGATCTGAAGTTTCTACTCTGCACAAAACTTCTGTTTTTCTGAGCATCCTAACACCTTTTTTTAATACTAGAGAAAGAAAACAGAAATCACCTCTACTGACAGGCAATGTGAACCTTTGATTCCAGCAAAATTCACATTGAAGACAGGAGAAATTAGCCACAGGGGAACCACAAAACTTCAATTATCCATTCAAAGTATTAAAATATCAGGGGCAACACCAGCAGAGAGGCTACAGACCCATTGTAGACCAAAATGCTGGCCACAGAGCAGTCACTGAGTGACCCTCTGCTTTAACAAAGAGGGCTGGATATGTCACTTCAGCAGACATTCCACATTCTGCTTACCCACAGGCCCATCCCTCAGGCATGGTGTGGGAGAAGCTGATTTCCCCTGTACAAGGATGCCTGTCTTCACCTCAGCCACAGACTGGATGATCATTCCCTCTCAGTGTTATTCAACTATCTTGGCCCTCGTGTGCTACTTGGAAAAAAAAAAAGTCCTGCCTGGGGATAGGTCTAACATGAGAAAATACATCTGAGCACGGAAAAAGGTAAAGTAGCTGTCGTGCGATAATCAGCTAAATTTGTTGTTATTCTAAACTGTGTTTTTAATGGCTCAGAGTGGCAGAAAAAATAAGATCAAAAAAACATGTTTTACTTCTCTGGTAACAATCTGCACCTTAATTATAACATTCTGTTGTTAGCACCCTTTAATAAGGCTTAAATTCAAAAGGAAAGGATAATAAAAGAGATGAATGCAGAAGATACAACTGTGAAAGTTCATAGCGGAGGAAACTTTGGAAAAGTAAATGGATATGATGCTGATGGCTGAAGTAGGCTATGCCTGATGCAAGAAAACATACTTATAAAACTTAACTCCTAGCATTTATACTGAGAAAGAAAATGCACAAGGGGTTGCAGAAAAACCTCTGTCAAGCAGTGAGTGCTGCTTGGCAAGAAATAGTTTGAAGTTTAAAGCACATTCCTGAGAAAGGCAAAGCAGTAGGAGCTAAAGAATAGAAAGGGGCTTCCTGACTGCCTGCTCCCGTATCAGAAGACAGCCGAGGGTTGATTTTTTTCTGGACACACTGCAGTTTGATTTTTCTGACCTACTTTGGTGGAACAATTTTCCAAGAAGACTCTGTCTAACAAGCCATCATCTGTATCATGCGATGTAGCCAAACAAACCTTCAATTTTGCCAGAAGCAAGACTGATTCAGTAGCAGGGGACTTAGCACAAGCAGTCTGGGGTGGGGCTCTGATTCATCCACAACACTGGCTGGGACAGGGTGACTCTTCACTACTGTCTGAAAGAAGGCAAGGAACAAGTCTCATTAGTCTTGGCCACCATCCTAGGAGGCAAAGTGCTGCAAAACCTTAAAAATCATACAAATCCAGGAAAACAGGACCAAGAGGCACCTCAAGAAGCCATTTAATTCACATCCTACCATTAGCACTGCACTTCTTGCTGCCACCAGAAATGTGGCTGTGAAGAACTATTCACAGAAGAGAAAAATGTGGACCCAAGTCCATACATAGCCACCCACAGCAATGCTGAAGGAATGGGAAACTGAAACTCATTTACTACATATTCATTTTTGCCTTAGACTCTGTAGCTTTTGTAAGTCCAGTCTAAAAATAAAGTCAGAATGTTGGCTGATATTACAAAGAACTTGATGAAAGTACTACAGAGCTCTTGAAGAAAGAGTGATAAAATTATCCTTTTTTCCCCCCACTGAGATTTTCACTCTATTTTTAACTCAGTTTGTTTCCCCCCTCTGAAATGTTATAATTACTGGAGAAGCAGAACAAACTTTTGAAGGAGAAGCTGAAAATTTCATACCAAAAATTTCAAATTGTACTTCTGGCTTCTGGGCAGTTTCCTTTATCTCTGGGTATAGAAAAAACACAGATTGTTGTTGTTGTTGCTGTGAGGGACCACAGCAAAGGTTCCTCAGAAAATTAATACCTATTTTTGGTATTGTTTTTTTTTCTTTTTTTGTCCTCTCTTTTCAAAAGTACATGTTTCAAATACAACGTTGTAAATTCTCAACAGTATTCTCTTTCAATATCGCAGTACTTTCATGAACATCTTCAGCCTGAAAAAAAAGAAAGGATTGTTAGGAAGCTAAGACAGACCGTAGCAGAAGCCAGAAACAAATCTGGTTTGGGTAATCTTCAGTTACTAAAGGAAGCTCTGTTCATTTGCATCGTTTTTCTGGTGCTTGGGTCAAAGCCATGGCTGCATTTTTGTATTTGAAGAAGTTTCTTAGTGGTTGCATCTAGAGCAATGTGCTGGAGTAGCTGGAGGGTTTTCTAATATATTTGTTTTATTTATGAAATAGATACCTGCTGTTTACTTGAGGTTTCCCTGGAAGCCTTTCTAAGATTAAATAAGGCAGTATCATGTCATATATCTTCAAGATCTTTTTCCCTGGCTGTGTAGAACTGGGCTACTTGAAATACAAAACTTTTTCATTTGTGAGGAATTTGCTGCTAAAGCTCTCTCAGTTTTTCTCTGAAAGTAGATTTTCCAGAGCTGAGTCACAGATCATGCTCTGATGTAAACAGGGGACAGGCAGCACAGGCCAGCACACAGGGTTGCAAAAGAATAAAATGTTGCAGCAACACAGCATCAAAAAGATGCTCACAGTACAGCTCACAGAGTCACAAAGCTTTCAGGATTACTCCTTTATGTGACATCCAGCCACACAGAGCAGTCACAGTTCTGGCCCATTCAGTCTGTCTCTGCAGGAGATGGTACCTCTGTCATCTCAGGGCTATTTCACACGGCTCATGGGTGCTCCAGCAGCCAGAAGACTTAGATATTTTTTTCAGAAACAAGTGAGAAAATATTAGCCTTTTCATCAATGATCTCAAGATGCCTTCAGTGAAGAAAACTTTGTAGGAAAGTGGGTGTTTTTCAACTTAAGACCAATGATGGCTTAGTGTTTTATAGCTGCTGCCCAACCCATCTCACTTTGGAATCCAAACTGTGTTGCATTAGTCATTGGTTGCATCAGTCAGCTTCTTCTTATAAAGGGCACCCTTATCACCTTCTCTAAAGGCATGACTGCAGAGCAGAGGGGATCTGGGCTCCCACACATGGCCTGACCATCCACTGCCCCCTCAGACACAAGGGCTGGACACAGGACAAGGCAGCCACACGCTGTGTCCCCAGGTGCACAGCGCTGCCACGCCCTCATTTCACAGGCACAAGCATTATTGTAGCCAATGTAGCCAGTCCCCTGGAGGCAGAGTGAGGAGGAGATCATACTCTCTCGGATCTGAATCTGGGAAGAATAGCTGAAAAACTTACGTACTAAAAACTCATTCTGGTGTTTAAGTGCTAAGATGAGCAAAGAAGGGAAGTGACTCCTTCAGAAATGGTTTGTTTCTGCTTTCCAAAGCCGGGCAGCCCAAATAAGTGCATGCCCTTTGCTTTGAAATGTCAACTGCTAGTGCTAGCAGTGTTCTACTCAACAATGGTGAGCATTAATAACCACTAATTAGTAACTATTAATGTTTGAGATGGAAAATGGCTCAAGACAATGGCTCTTTCAGGCAGCTGTGGACCACTGGGGGCATCAATGGTCATACCTGTATTCTCCTTGTCACAAGAAATGCAGGAACCACAAGGGAAACAAGTCCAAAATCCTTGATTACAGAGCCAGACAAATAAATGCAGGTACCAAAGTATCAAGATGGGATACACATTTTCCATTTACCTCTTTAGAGAGGCAGAGCTTTTATTTACTTAAGACATTTTCCACTTTAATACCTGCCCTCTCCTACTTTTTAGAAAACCTCATTTACCTTTTAATAATAGATTATTTTACCAACAAATAAGACTACCTGGCAGAAGTGTAATAGCATGGTTAGGACTGGCAGGCTGGCTGCTAGACTTGAACTTGTAGGCTGAAGAACAGTGCTTTTCTTCTATGAAATGAATGTATTTACTTACTAAGTGCCAGAGTGACCAAAAGCAGGGTGGCACAACCATATAAAAAAAAGATAAGGGTTTCCATTCCCACGGTGTCCATATATTGTCCTACAAAGGCTATTCAAGAAAGTTTGCTTCTTTTCTGATCCTTTTTTCATTCCAAATGCCTGTGCTGACATACAGGCTGATTGAACTACCACAGTTATTATAAAATAATCAGGGGAATTTTGGAAAGCAATGTTCTTGCTTTCAGTGTTCAATGTACCAGCTGCCTCTGCACAAATAATCCTTGCAAATATAAAAGGAGAAAATGCATGTCAAACTTTGCCATAGGCCAAAGGACAAGTTGAAGAACCATCCATGGCTGTGCAGTTGTGCACAACATCAGGAAGGTTTGACAGTCCTGTGTTCTTTCAGAAGACCTCTTGTCCCAGCTCTACATCACATGAATTATTACAATTATCATGACACACTTGACAGGCTATCAAGGTAATTCATGACATTAAGCCCTTCTTTAGTCAACTCTGTCACCAAGGAAACAGAAGTGCACTGTCAAAGTGACATATTCCATGTTCAGGTGTTAGCCATCCTAAATGTGATCTTGTCAGGAGTGGATGAACTGAGATGATTAAACTTTTGGGTGAGTGTGATTAACTGATTAATCTACAATCTAAACAGTTGTTTTCAAAATTAGACTCCAAGTCTTTAAGGGGACAAAAAACATATCGCTTGAATTATGAGGTATGCATTTCTTCTCACCGTGAATTGGTTTTTTTATGAATTTTCATCAAAGCCCCATTAGTATGGTGCTCAATGAAATTTAGAAGCCAGCAATTTCAGATATATTATCAGAATATAGGAAAAGGACTCACAGAGAGATTTTCATAAGGTTGTCTTGAAGTTATAAAAAGAAAAAATATCATACCAAGCTTCTTCTGATTTGTGGTTATGAGTGCTTAGTCATGTATGTATGTATAGCTTTAGCACCATGTGGCTATGAGTGCAGAAAATGGCATTTACATTGATATCACTGGTTAAGAAAATCAAGTCCACAATTAAGACAGAAATAGATTTTAATTACAAATGAAGGTTATGTAAGTGTAAGTGCAGATGGAATAATTAGAGCCTTTATGGTGAAATTCTGAATCCTTGTTCATGAAGCCATAAGAAGTTATAGCAACATCTGGTTCAGTAAGAGAATAGAATACTCTTTTAATTTTTTAAGTACCTGCTAATGTGAAAAGAAAATGTCTCTGAACTGAAACACATGCAAAGTGCACACACTGCACTTTGAAAGACATAGTGGCACCTTGTTTATTGATGCATGTTGTATGTTTCAAAGTAAGGCATGACAAGCAGTGCATAAAGAAGTAAATCAACTAATTTAATCTTTTCCACTGTGACTCATGTTATTCAAGCTGCACAGTGGAAAACAAAGTGGCATCTTGCTGAAAACCAGCAGACAGCACAAACATAGAGACCACCACTTAACATAAACTTCACTGAAGGATGTCCTTTACAAGCTGGGGGTTTTTGCAGTCTTTGACAACATTGTACTGAGATTAACTGTAATCCTTTTTAGTCTCTGTTTATGACTACAGCAATCTGCCCAAATTGTTTTTTAAATAAAAAAGGGCACATCACTTCAGATCACAGTTACTGTGATGCTTCGATTACAAGACAAAATCCTGATGCTTCACAGTTTTCACAGTCCATGACTGTGAAATAAATTCATGTGGCTTTTGCTGTTAGATGAAGAAATGCCCTGAAACAGAAAAACAGTAGCACTTAGGGCATCATTACACTGTCATCAGTTGGGAATACCCCCAAGGATGACTGTGCCTCAGCAGTGCTCACTAAATATCTCACAGAAGAAATAAGGAAATACAAACTGAAATGAAATTCCTCTATACAGATCTTTCGGTGGTAAAAGTAATTTGGCATGTGGTTGCACTTCCTGTGTGAATAAAATTTTCACAGGAAGTCTAGGAAGTTAAGATGTCTTTGGAGCCTACTTCAGTAAAAAGAACTCAAAGGAAAAGTGTTTTCCATTACTCCCTCTAGCTGACACTTTCTAAGTGGTTCCCTAAATACAGATGGCAAAGCTTTATCTTGAAAAAATAAAAAATAAATGCTTTATCTCAGTTTTGACTTGTAATCTGAAGACTTGGATTCCCTGAGAACATAAAATCCTATTGTGCAGAATGATTTTTCTTTTCAGGCTGTAAAGGTATTAGCTGACAATTCCTAAACCTCACATACACGCTTCATTCATGCACCTTCTACACCTACTTCCTTAAAAAAAGCCTTATGAAAAAAAGTGTTGCACTGACTTCAGCAACTTGCTCCATAAGAAAAATATGATGCAAGACTAATGTTTAAAATCACAAGAGACAGCAAGAAGCAACACTTTCTTTCTGGAATACTACCATTCCAAACAAAGGCCTTTTTAATAATGATTTTATCTTCTTTAGTTTTTTGGTGTTTTTTTATTCTCGCATTTTTTTCTACTTCTAAAGTAATTTGAGAGCTATTACTTAATAACTGAATATACTTCTTACCGCTCTTTTTCTGTAACTCAGAGACCTTGAGGTTTTCTGCAGGTGGAAGTGATGCCACCTAAAGACAGATACAGATATTTAGTACTTTGTTCTACCTCAGCTTCGTTAAGGGAGAGCAGATAGATCCTCCTATATCTCCTGTGCTCTTGTACACAAATTCTGACTTGCATAAAAACAAAGCCATCATAAAACCTCTCAACAAGGAAGATAAAACCGAATTTTTCCAACCCAGTGTGGGGCAAAGCAGGGCTGTGTCCCAGACACAGAGTGGGGGTGGGAGAGCCAAGCACTGTCTGATTGCTTTGTCTCACAGAGGATGGGTATGGGGTTATCACAGGGGCCTCAGCATCACTGCTGCACTTCAGACAGTCTAGCAAGGCTCTGAGGTTTCAGCTTCCCCACACAAACTTTCCCTTTTCCTGCAGGTGCCTGTAGCAGGCTCTGAAACAGCAATTCCTATGTAAGCACAGCATATCCCTAGGCATGGCACTCTGTGGATTGATCTGCTAGATTTAAATCCAGAACCTGCTCTAAGTCACAGGCAAAATGCATTTCAGACAAAATGGTCCCAGTGCCACCGTAAAAAGATGATGAGGAATTTGTGAATGGGCGAGGTTTAGGATACAATCTTCAGACAGAATAATTTTATTTTGTTGTTCTGGGGCAGGGGGTATTATTTTCTTCTGAGCAGCAGGTTATCTGCATTTGGGATCCACTTGGAAACATCAGAATAGAGAAAAGCATCCACTTTTCCTTCACACTGGATCTTCATTATCTAAATATTGTTTTCATGAGTTGCATGTTCAAATATAATAGCAAGAAAGAGTGAACTGAGGTATGATTAATTTAGTCTGATACTTGGTAAGTTTGTTTCAGTGAAGAAAAACAGTCCCAGCTTTGAATATAGGATTCCTTGTTCCCTTTAATTAATTATTAAAGGGCAGTAATTATTAACTTTTATACAGACATACGTTAACTTCATGCACATGCACACAAAAAATCCAACAGCAACAATGAAAAAAAGGAAAAAGCACAAAGAAGTCTTAGAAGTTTTTGCAGAAGAGACTAAGAAATACTTAAAAAAT